CACGTGGTCCTGTCCCCTTAGCCTAGTATAAATACTCATGTAAACCTCAGAAAGAGGGATCCGAATTCATTCTCTCTAAACTCCCTTGTAAAAGCACCCGTGCATTCTCCGTTATAATATAAATTGGGCTACAGGTGTTCCACCTAAAGTCCTACCGGTCAATCTGCGTGTTTTTACCTTTCTTACTTTGCCAAATCAAACGAACTATTCTAGACCCGGTCTAGTATAGTTTGACCGGTCAGGTAATTTACACCATCATTTTTGGCGCCACCCGTGGGACCGTTAAGGTTTCTTCTTCTAAACACAAACCTACCCACCAAAACACCACTCGAAATGTCTTCCAGCCAACAAATCAACGCTACTTCCGCTCAGGTGCAGGCCACCAACGAGGGAGCCAGCATCCCTGTGGCTGCTACCATACCGGTCATTTCAGCCCCGGTGTTGCCTCTAGGTCTGAGCTCTGTCCCGACGGCCAGCGTGATCAGTCCCTTCGTGACCCCTGTCCCTTCCGCTGGACCAAGGGTAACGTTCCCACCAAGCATGACTCAAATCATGAATGACCCAGCCAACCTACAAGCCATCCAGGGCTTTGGCCAGGTCATGGCCATGTGCCAGCAGAACGGGGGGATGCCTTTCCTCCCTGGTATGTTCCCATTCGCCCTTCCAGGCGCGGGGACCATGCCTCTACAAGCTCCGATGGCGGTGACGTCGTCCCAGACGCCGATGCCGCAACCATCACCTTTCCAGCCCCAGCTGGTCAGCACCATGGCCCCGGTCAACTTGGCTGGTGCACTTAACGCTGCAGGGCCGTCGCGTCCCCCGCAAGCTACGGATCCGCAGGTCACTCCTGATGGTCATTGCGTCTCGATTGAGAGCGATGACGGCGAGTGGGACATCCCGAGGGCCCACAAGAAGAAGAAAGGAAAAAACATCCGGCCAGCGACCTCTCGAAACTCCGCCTTCGAAAGGCTGGGGGATAGGAAGGAAGGCCAGAGGAAGTCAGCCAAGCAGAGGCTGGGGCAGAGTGTTGCCCATGTCAGCGCATTCGCCCGGCTAGGCGAGGTGCGGGAGGCCGAGCCTGCCCGCACCCGGCGCTCCTGGTCTAACCGGCAGGAGCCAGCGAGGACGAGGGCCTCCCACCAGGAAGGGGAGGCAGAAAGCCAGCCCAGGTTACCGGTGGCGAACCGGTTAACCATCCCAAACGACCGCGTCCAGCATATGGAGGCAAAGCTGGAAAGGCTGGAAAAGAAGGTCGGGGAGAAGAATGACCGGGACAAACCCCTGGCAGGGTCCCCGTTCACCACAAGGGTCCATCTGACACCTTTCCCGCGAAAGGTCAAGATCGACGCCCCCAGATTCACCGGGAAGGAAGATCCGGAAATCCACCTGGACTCCTTCAACCAGAGTGCGACCATGA